GGGCACTTCTTTTAACCTCCCGTTCCTCCACCCGCACCCGCACCCCCACCCCCAGCAATGGCCCAAGTGTACATCCTACAAAGAAATCGTCCCAGCGGTGAGCAAGGCTGTGTGCAGACAGGCTTGACGGACCTCTTCACCGTTCATAGGGCCATGATTTCGTGCATAATTAATAACTGCTCACCGCAGGCCAACAGTGGCCAGGTATTGCTTGAGCTGAAAGGACTCGTTGGGGCGGGGCAGGGAGGGGTGCAGCGCAGGCCAGCATCCGCCACTAGCCACGTGCCAGAGGCGAGCTAGTCCATAGGAAGCCCTTTCATGAGCGGGAAGAGCATATTGGGAGGAGAAAGGTGCAACCATCAAGTTCTGTTATAACCACAGAGTTCTTGCTGGGGGGCATTCAGAACTGGCCTGGGCTGGGAGAGCCCCCTCCGCCCCCCGGACCCTGCACTTTGCAGCCTTGCTAAGGTCTCTGTCATACATTTTGACAAGATCCTGTTAAATGTGAATCCTCTGCCAATTTATGATTCGTGCCTCTGATCATTTCAGTGAAACCAGCTAGTGCGAAACAGTAATAAAAAATTACATAAATATTTTCAAAGCTAATCTGAACTAAAATATCTGCTGCAGATACACATTTGCAAGAGGAAACAGTTTTTAAAGTCACTTTTTTCAGCAGGAAGCATTAGGTAGGTGTTAGCCTATCTTCCCTCCCACCCCTGTATTTAAATGCCCTGCACGAATCAGCAGTGACAAGATTTTTTTAAGAGAAAACTATGCTTAATTAGATACTCCTCTTCCTATCCTAGCCTCACTCAGCTTAGAAATAACTGTTCCTCCCCATAAGGGAAGACCTTCATGTAGATCTTGATAGTTTCATTTTACCTCTGTCATCAATCATATTGTCTCTCAGCGTATTTTCAACTGCTTTTTTTTAAATTCTTTGCCATCAGCATTTAAACACATTCTTCCACAGCCTAAGCTTATTAAAGGGAGAGAGAATTGTTTAGTATTATTTGCTTAGAGTTTCTGCTGTGCCTGGTACATTGTAGGGCCTGAATATTTTGGAACTGCCCATCAAGATCACTGAAGTCCTCTTTATTTCTAAGCCAAAAGGACAATAATTAGTCTTTCTTGCTCATCTTTTTTTATAAGTGTTTTCATTTTGCTACCACACGTTCTTAGTTTCCCTCTTATCCTCTGTCAACTTAATCTTTTAACGTTTTTTTCTTTTCCTCTATTTACTCTATAAATGTTCATTTTCTAGTATAATGAAGACATCGAACAAAAGTGTCTATAACTGCTTTTATTGTGATTATTCTCATTTCTCTAGGACTAAACACTTCTTACACATCCAAGTAAATTTCAATCTTGTTTCTTCTTTAGTCTCCTAATTAGTGGCAGAGGCTGGGATGCATAAGGCTCAAGAACCTATATTGCTTTCCCTAAGATTAGCAATTAGTTTGTCCTACAAATAAAGAAAATTGAACATGAATATACAGTACAATTTAAGATAATAAGAGAGGAAAAAAGAGATTGACTCAATTACACAAATGCATTGAAGTCATATATGCCAAAACAATCCATTACTGTTTTTCTATATCGACACAGCATTAAAGATACTTCAAGACAATGCAATAACTATTAAAAATTATGATTTTTAAAGGTGTAAAGAAGAAAGTTTTGATATAATCCACAATGTAAAAATGTTCAATTTTAAAAATGGTTAAAATGAGATTCTCTGCTCTGGCCGGTTTAGCTAGGTGGTTAGGGTGGTGGCCCGCAGACCAAAAAGTCATGGGTTCAATCCCCAGCCCGAAACCAATCAACATGTCTCTCTCACATTGATGTTTCTCTACCCCTCCTTTCCCTGGCTTTCTCTCTCTCTCTCTCTCTCTCTCTCTCTCTCTCTCCTCTCTCTCTCTCTCAAAAAAAAATCAATGGAAAAAATATTCTCAGGTGAGGATTTAAAAAAAAGAGAGAGAGGGATTCTCACTGATAACTAGTGAGCACCAGAAGTGCAAAACTTCTAGTTTCCTTCAAATCAAATGTAGCCCTTTTGATGTCCCCTCAGGAATCCTAGGGAACAAACCAAACACTAGGGGAAGAGTGAACAGTGTTCTGGAAAGAGAAAATAAAAGTCTAAAAGCCAAGTTAGCGTAACAGGGAATCCCAATGTGTGAAGAAAGCCATGGATTAAGCAAGAAGGAACAAGACTTCATTATGAATAGGAATGGGTCATTCTCCTGTTTTGGGCCATGCCACGTGATACCTAAGTGGCTCATAGTTTGTGAAAGGCACAGGGTTGAGATAGGCTGTCTCAAAAGAGATAAATTTTGATGAAGTTACACCAAAGCTATGTTGAGATAGAAAAAAATGCATTCACAAACACTACCATGAGTGTTAATTGAGGAAAAGTTTCTCTGACAAGCTTATAGGAAAACACGGAGATCTCCAGGTGCCTATGTAAGAACCACATTGTCTAAGAAAATAGTTGGTTCTTCAGGTTTCTCTTAGAGGTGGGTAAGAGATAAAAATTGAGAAGGGATCATCACAAGGCCAGAGGGTATGCATGATTCTCAGAAGAGCTATCACTCTTTGATACCTCTGCTGTTTTCCATTCACCCATTGCAACAAAAAATTGTCTTAACAATGTAAAGTTATTGTTCTCACAGTAAGGAAGTAAGGAATTTGGTTTATGTTCAGATTGATACAAGAATAATTGAGGTAGCATACACATAGAGGGAGATGGAAAAAATAAGAGGAAAAGACTTGCTGGAAATTAACACACATGAAGGGGAGATTTAACAAAGATGTTTCAGCTTTTTAAAAAATATATATTTTTATTGATTTTTTTACAGAGAGGAAGGGAGACGGATAGAGAGTTAGAAACATCGATCAGCTGCCTCCTGCACACCCCAACTGGGGATGTGCCCGCAACCAAGGTACATGCCCTTGACCGGAATCGAACCTGGGACCCTTTAGTCCACAGGTCAATGCTCTATCCACTGAGAGAAAAACCAGTTAGGGCTGTTTCAGCTTCTTAACACTGTAGATGTAGGGGGTTATGTCTTAAGCTTAGAGTCCTTGTTTTCTACATGCCTACATTTTTAAAAAATATGTTTTTATTGATTTCATAGAGAGGGAGGGAGGGAGAGAGAGAAACATTAGTGATGAGAGAGAATGGTCGATGGGCTGCCTCTTGACCCCACTGTGGATCAAGCCCGAAACCTGGCATGTACCCTGGCTGGGAATAGAACTGTGACCTCCCGATTCATGGGTCAATGCTCAACCATTGAGCCACACCAGCCGGGCCATTCCCTACATTTTATACCATGAGAATATACCAGAAAAGTTCATACAAAGAGCCTTATTTCTATGTAATCTTAGACTAAAAAATTGTTTTGATGGTTTGATCGCTTGGAAAAGATGATGGTCCAGCTCTAAAAGATGGAGGGCACACTAGCATATAGCAATTAGTCTGATATTTCCCTCTTTCTTTCCCCTCTTTTTTTATGAGAGATCAGAAATAGGCTACTTTAAAACCTTTATAATGAATAGCTTTAAATAATGAAAAACACATTAGCAGGTTGCATGCTTTTTTAAATTTATCATCATTATTACGAATATTTGAGACCATTTACTTTAGATTCAAAATGCATTTTTAACAAAGAAAGACATTTTGTAACTTTGTTGGAGGTTTTTATTGCTAGTTTAAATAGAATCTGCACTTATTCATTATGTTCATACACTTTTTCAGGAACTGGAAAAGTCAACCGCAAAGCGTTCTCTTGATGAAAATTAAGGGATTTTATACATTTTTCAATTGTACATGATAACAGTGAAATTTTTTATGTCTAAATGACAGTTTGTCTTGTCTCCCCACAATTGCCCATCAAAGACTGTGTGTTGTTAGAATGATAGGGTTATAGCTACTGGATTAATTAGAGAATAAAATAACATTTGTGTTGGCCCTACTTTTATTTAGTTCTCAATAGTAAAAAATTAGTCCAGGGTATTTTTCCTATGATTAAAGCTGAATAGAAATGATTACCATATAATCACATTTGTAAAACTTCATTTTAATTAGGGTATATTCAACCCAGAGTGCAGTGTCAGAGCCTAGCATAGCCAAAGAAATGGAACAGATGGAAAAAAACACTTTACTATTCCTGCTTATTTTCATATTAAGATGGTGTGAAACAGGACTAATGTCTAGAGACATGTTGATTTAACAGAGTTTTATGTCTCTATTAGAATAAAAGGAAATGGTGAAAAAGAAATTTATTCTTTTTTTCCTGTCATTTATATCTGACCATCAAGAGTTTTTTATATATGACAAATATCTGCTAATTTTACTCATATTAGACTTACAGATACTAATAACATTAACCTTGATCAATCTCTTCCCTAATTTTCCCTTACATTAGAAATGCCTATTTTCTTTCCATTTCTCCCAGGTATTCTTTATATCAAACCATCTATTTCTCCATCAGAAAAATCCTATATTATTTCCCACAGTTACAGATTCAAGAATGAGCATATTGCCCTGACCGGTTTGGCTCAGTGGATAGAGAGTCGGCCTGCGGACTCAAGGGTCCCAGGTTCGATTCCGGTCGGGGGCATGTACCTTGGTTGCGGGCACGTCCAGTGTGCAGGAGGCAGCTGATCGATGTTTCTCACTCTCTATCCCTCTCCCTTCCTCTCTGTAAAAAATCAATGGAATATATTAAAAAAAAAAAGAATGAGCATATGACCCAATGCAAACTGGAGAGAGGTTAAGAGATATTTGCTGGGTCTTCTGGAAGAGTCTCTCTCTCTCTCTCTCTCTCTCTCTCTCTCTCTCTCTCCTTGACAAATCAAGTAAAGACAAAACAAATAATGTAAACCAATTACT